AAGTTCAGCGAAGCACAGGGACCACGGTTCAATCCCCCAGCACCACATGCCAGCCAGCCCGCCCCCTGGTGGGCTGAGCTGGCCACACACACACACCACTCTCTCTCTCTCTTTCTCTCTCTCTCTCTCTCTCTCTCTCTCTAATAAATAAAAAAAAATTAAAAAAAAAAAGATAAATAACCCAGGAGACTCAGAAAATACTTAATTCTAGGATAAATCATGGCTTTCCCATGGCACAGAAGGCTAAGACTTCTAAGTTTACCTTGCTAGGCAGGCGCTGTGTCACTGAGCTAAATCCCCAGCAAACAAATGGTTAGTCCTATAATGTTTACTTTGGGGGTGTGTGTGTGTGTGTGCCAGGAATTGAACTCAGGACCTTGCACTTGCCAGGCAGGTGCTGTGCTGCTGAGCTATATCCCTAGCAAACTACAGATCCACTTTTTTTTTTTTTTTTTTTTTCCCCTGAGAATTGACCGTGTCCTTGCCAGGCAGGCCTTGTGCTGCTGAGCTATATTGCTGGTCCCTCAACTCTTGGAATATTGGCATTTTTGCTTTACTCTAATATGGCAGGCACTTTCACAGCTTGTAACCTGAGCCCCTTATAAACATTTAAACTCTTAGCCAACCTCCAACACCCAGTCCAAAGCCCCCTTTAATTTTTTTTTAAATTAATTTTAATGAGAAAGAAATAGCAATGTCATAGTTTCAAAACCAAAGGCCCCTTCTGCGATGAAACCTTCCCTGATTTTTTGCTTTCCACTTTACTTCTCCAGGGTAGTTCCGTCTGCTTCAGGGCTCTGCTGGTATGTATTAAGTCATCAGCATTGCAAGAATCACGCTGAATGTAATTATCTATTTCTGAATCTCTAGATTAGATTCGAGATTAAATTCTACTACACTCAATTCCTAGAGTGCTGGGGCTGCCCCATACCAATAGACCCAGCACTGAGAAGAGGTAAGTGAATGCAAAAATCTAATGAAATAGGGGACAGAAGGAGAAACTCCACGCGCGTCTTTGGTCACTGACTGCTGTCCCCACGGGCTTCCTGTGTGCGGGAACCCCGCGCACTCCAGTCCTCCTGGCGCCCCATCCTCGCGTGGCAACTCTTGGGGGCAGCAGACAGGGTCAGGAGAGCAATGGCTGCTCCCTTGCGGGCAATGCGGCAGAGCCAGAGATCAAGGACGCAGCCTTCTTCACTTGGCTCGGGCTCCGGCCACTCAAGTAGGCAGCGGGCCTTTCAAAGGTCAGCCCCTCCAACCTGCCCGAGACCCCCAGCCCGGGACCACCGTACCTGAGCTGATTTCGGCGAGCCCCAGGCCTGGTTCCGCCCCCGGGGGTGGGGCGTAGACACCGCCCCTCCCCCGTCCCGGAAGCAGGTCGGGGCTAACCGCAAAGCTCCGCTCGGGCGTTGTTCGCCCCGCCCCAGTGCCCCGGGGCCTGTAGGACCCAAGTGGAGACTGCTCTGAATCCCAGTGCCCCGGGGAACCGGCTGAGCCCTCCCGGGAACTACCAGGTAAATAAGCCCGGGCTCCCTGGAAACAACGCACAAGGGAGATGTTCCGGGCTGAGCGTCCACGTGGGTGATTCTATTTCCTTGGACGGCTGGTGTCTGGTCTATCTTAATAGAACTAATTGGGCCAGGGAGATGGCTCAGTGGAATAAGCGCTTCCTTGGCAAGCATAAGGGTCTGAGTTCAATCCCCGGTTCCGGAAAAAAAAAAAAAAAAATAGAACTAACACTTGCCTTTAAGACTGGCTTGATTGTTTTTTTTTTTGTTTTTTTTTTCCCAGACAGGGTCTCATTGTGTAGCTGAGGCTGAGCTTCAACTCATTATGTAGCCCAGGCTTTCATGAAACTCAAGGCAGTCCTCCTGCCTCAGCCTCCAGCTGTGTTGACTGGAATGCACCAGCACAGTATTTGGTACAGGGTTTCACTATGCAGCTCAGTCTCATAGTGATCCTTCTGTTTTCAGCCTTCCCAGCACTGGGATCACAGGCATGCGCCACCCTGCTGGGTCTCAGTGGCCTGCTTAGTGGACCCGGGGGTGGGGCTGGCGAGGCATGTGCTGGGTATAGAACCGCAGTCCATGCACTTGCCTAAGCAGACGATTAGTCCGCTGAGCTATCTCGCCAGTCCTTTTTTTTTTTGTCTTTCTTTTTGCTACCAGGGATTGAACTCCAGACCTTAAGGCTTGCCAGGCAGGTGTTTATGCTGCTGAGCTATCTCCCCAGCCCAGGGTCTCGCTTTGTAGTTTGGGCTGACTTGGAACTCACTGCAGTCCTCCTGCTTCAACCCAGCAGAAACAGCTTCTAAAGGGGAGAGTTGAGGGTTCTTTCCAAAGTGAGCCATCTGCCTGCACAGTCCTGAGGTCAGTTCAAATCATGCTGCCTTAGGGCCGGGGAGATGACTCAGAATAAGCACTTACCTGGCAATCCCAAGGGCCTGAGTTCAATCCCTGGTTCTGAAAAAAAAAAAAAAAAAAAATTATACTGCCTTAGACAGCACATATATTTTCTAACTGCTGTTTATTATCATGGCAAGCTGCAAAGGACACTTCCAACTCCAGAATGCAACTTTTAAAACTCCAGGAGTTTGCACTCTAATCAGAGTTGGGGCCAGGGAGATGGCTCAGTAGAATAAGCGCTTACCTGTCAAGCGCAAGGGCCTGAGTTCAATCCCTGGTTCCACAAAAAAAAAAAAAAAAAAAGTGCCATTGATCAACAACAACAACAAAGAGACAACTTGGGACAGTTTTAAAGGGTCCAAGGAATGCTGAAATTGTTTTATTTTTTTCTCTTTAAAATTAAAGAAAAAAGGGACTAAGGAATAAAAAGTCCACCAAGCAGGGTGAGGTTGTGCACACCTGCAGTCTCAGCAGTTGGGAGACTGAGGCAGGTGGAATCCCAGCAAGTTTGAGGCCTGGGCTAAATAATAGGCTAAACCTGAAGACCAGCCTGAGCTTCCTTTTCACTCCTGGTGAAGGGCCATCAGAAGCTAAGGTGGGAAGATGGTGGCTACAAAGAAGACGAAAAATATCTCTGGAGTCCATCAACTCCAGAATCCAACTTTTAAAAGCAGATGCTGAAATTGATCAGACATGGCAAAGGAAAACTGGTCATCCTCGCCAACAACTGCCCAGCTCTGAGGAAATCTGCAATATAGAGTATTGTGCCATCACGGCCAAAACTGGTGTCCATCACTACAGAACAATAATATTGACCTGGGGCAGCATGTGGAAGATAGTACTAATCCAGGTAGATTCTGGTATCATTTGAAGCATGCCAGAACAGAAAGGTGAAAAATAAACCATGCAACATTTGTCATTATTCTTTTAAAAGAACAAACTTTTTCATTAATAAAACTTGCCAGGACCAGGTGTGGTGGTGCATGCTTATAATCCCAACACCCAGCCTGGACTATATAAGGAAGTTCAAAGCCAGGCTGAACTACACAGTTAGACCCTAAGTAAGAAACACACACACA